CGTCGAGAGTCCCTTGTTCTTCGAAATGGTGTGGTCGGAACTTTGGTCTCAACAAGTCCAAGCATTCTTCGTTTGCCACAGTCGGAATGCCTCTGGTGCGCTTAGAAGTCTTCAATTTCAAGTCTTACAGGTTAGTATAAATGCGAACAACGCGTTCTTCGCGTCTCATCACGCTAATCACGCTATCCACAACTCTTGCCATCGCCGCTCGTAGGGGCTTGCATGTTATCGGCCCATTCAAAAACTTTACCTGCATCATCGGTCCAAATGGATCTGGGAAAAGTAATGTAATGGACGCCATCTCCTTCGTACTGGGAGTGAGGAGCATGTATTTGCGAAGTAACGACAAGACAGACTTCATTTATCGCGGTCGGAGATTAGCAAAGGCTCCAGATGAACCATCTCTACCAGTTGATGACAATGAAGAGCTGGACAACACAGACGGGACCAGCGCTTGGGTAATGGCCGTGTATGTGGATCAGAAGGGAAATGAGATTCGCTTCAAGCGAACGTAAGTTCTGGCTTATTATCTCACCCATTTCGCTAATCAATATATCTATCTCTATGACAGTGTTTCATTGGAAGGCAGCTCGGAATATCGCCTCAATAACAGAGTGGTCACCTATAAACACTATAACGAGGCACTCCAACGCGAGAATATCCTTGTCCAAGCGAAGAATTTCTTGGTATTCCAAGGAGATGTAGAAGCCATCGCCTCACAATCCCCGAAGGACTTGACAAAATTGATTGAACGTATCTCTGGCTCTGCGGAATTGGCACGCGAATATGAAGAAGCTAAAAAAGCCCAAGAGAAAGCGACTGAGAGTTCGACTTTTAACTTTACCAAACGACGTGGAATTATGGCAGAAATCAAACAATTCAAGGAGCAAAAGTCAGAGGCGGATAAATTCGAAAAGCTTCTTGACGAACGCGTACGATATCTGTCTTATTGTTTCTTACTATTCCTGACATCCATACTAGGACGATTTGGTAGTACAACGGATTGTATGGCGCTTGTTTGGGATTCAAAAGACAATCGACAACAATATCGAATCCATAGAAAAGAAGAACGGAGAACTTGCAGGTCTCAAAGCTGAGCTAACACAGCAAGAAGACAACCTTGCAAAGGCCCAGCAGGAGCAGGCTAGAGCGCGAGGAGAGGTGATGAAGCAGGAAAAATCGATCAAGAAGCAGGAAAGGATCCTAGAGTCGAAGGTAAGCATCATTTTAAAACCGATAAACCCTAAGCAGAAACTTACATCGTTTCCAGAAACCAGGCCTCTTAGCGGTGGAGACCCAGATTACCCATGCTGAGCGCAAAATTCAGAATGCACAAAAAATCTCCGAGGAAGTCAAGAGAGATGCGGCGAAAGAGCAGCAACATTATGACCAGCTAAAAAGGAATCTGGCGGACGTGAAGAAGGCTGCTGACGCTGCTGCGAGTGAGTGCCTAGCTAATGAACCGGGCACAAGCTAACCATAAAACAGAGGTCCAGGAGAAATCCGCTCAATCAGATTTCAAGTTGACTGAAAGACACTTGGAAGAGTATCAGGCTTTGTGAGTGAGGATGCTCCCCCTTTCGGGCTCCTTATGCTGAGTTCAAACAGGAAAGCGACCGCAAATTCTCATGCCGTTAACGAACGTCATCAACGGGAAAAACTTAAACGGGATGAGAAGATAGGGAAGAGGTCGTTGGAGAACCTTGAGACAAAGCAGGAGGAGTTTGACAAGAAGCAAACCACCTTGATGCAGGATTATGATCTATGGAAAGAGAAGCTTGCTACGGTCAGAGAACTGCTTCTCTGAAGTTCTTTGACTAATTGATCGCTACGATAGTGCGAAGAGAAGCTCGGCAAACTAAAGACTGACATAAAAGGGGTCAAACAGGAGCTAGACAAGAATCAGGCTGAAAGGACAAAGATCTCGTAGGTTTGAGAAAAACCTCGTCGCACCTCTCTAATGAGTGCTTAGGAAGCTGGAAGGCGAAGTGAATGAAAAGCTCCAGAACATACACAATCAACTGTTGCAAGCTAGTGCCGATCAACGAGAATCGGAGAGGGATCGTAGCCTCAAGGAGACCCTCTCTAACCTACAAAGAATCTTCCCAGGTGGATAAATATTTCCATTCTCTATCACCTTCTTACACATCTCGCAGGGGTTCGAGGCCGACTTGTCGATCTTTGCAAACCTAGTGCTCGCAAATATGATCTCGCAGTTTCAGTAGCGCTTGGTCGCAACATCGATGCCATTGTAGTAGACTCCGAGAAGACTTGCATTGAATGCATCGAGGTGGGTCACAACCATGATTTTTGCTCAATACTAAGCTGTGATACTCCATAGTACATGCGAAGTCAACGCTCCGGACAAGCCACATTTATTCCTTTGGATACTATCAAAGTCAAGCCCATAAATGACAGATTGCGCAGCCTATCTAAGGGCGCTCGTCTTGCTGTAGAGGTTGTGCTGTGTGATCCTTCAGTGGAAAGAGCTGTTCACCACGCTTGTGGAAATGCCCTGATATGTGACACGATGGAGATTGCACGTCACATATCGTACGACCGGGGACAAGATGTCAAAGGTCCGCTAAACCATCGCAATATCCTAAACATAGGACTCACCCTCTTCTAGCTGTAACATTAGATGGGACTGTCATTCACAAAAGTGGTCTAATCACAGGTGGACGAAGTTCGCAAAATTCTGGGAAAACTTGGGAAGAGAAAGAAATACAAAGTATGCTCTAGCTATATCGATGATCGTTCATACTAACCACATTGTAAACAGGTATGCAGCGTACTCGTGATGAACTTCTCGCTCAAATGAGAGACCTGAATAAATCAAAACCGAGAACTCGAGTAGATGAAACCCTCTCTGCAGAGCTGAATCGCTTAGAGTCTGAAGTAACGATTGCGAGGGAAGAGAGGGTAAGATTTATCAATCTCTCATGAACCTTGCTTACAGTTACTCTCCTAGAATGCGGCTCGCACAAAGGTCGACGATATTAAGAAGGAATTGAAACATATTCATGAGGCGCTGGAAAAACTTGTGCCAGAGATTAAGAAGGTTTGTCGTATCCATCGAAGAGATGATCGTAGTTAACTGTTTATATAGGGCCGTGCTACTCAAGCCAAGCTTGAATCCGATCTCGAAAAGCTTCAAGCGGTGATTGACGAGGCAGAAGACGGTATATTCCGAGATTTTTGTCAGAAGATTCGGGTCTCGAATATCAGAGACTATGAAGATCATCAGTTGAAGGCTGCTCAAGGGGAGGCTGAAGCAAGGCTTCGATTTGATTCCCAAATTGCCCGTCTTACACACCAGTAAGAGCATTCAGTCATCTAGAAGAAACTAGTATAACACCCTTTCTTAGGATCAAGTTCAGTGAGGAGCAATTGGAAGCGACAAGAACCCGACT